GATAGAAGAAGACTCAATAGAATGGGATGATGAGGATGCAAAATAAACCTTTTGATGAATCTATTGGAAATATGAGAAATTTGATGGATAACTATATTAGTTTATCAATCTTTATAAATGTTAATATCAGTCAAATAAAATTTCATGTTTTTTTTTATTTTGAATTACATGCATATATGTACTTTATTTCTATTTTTTAACACATATTTTGAAATTGATATTTAATAATAATAATAATAATAATAATAATAATAACAATAATAATAAAAATTAATGCATAAATATATACTAAAACAATCTCTAAAGTTATCCTTGCAATCCCTCCATTAAATGTGAGTAACATACATTTTTATTCAATTGTTTAATATATATTAAACCAATATATTTCCGTTACATGTACATTAAATCAAGAAAGAGAAAAAGATGCGGCTTAAAAAATGAAAAACATTAATTTATACAATAGTAAGCATACTTAAAAAAAAAAGGTGAATATTTAAGAATATTAAGCATTAAAGGCAGAAAGAAAATGAGAAAAAAAAAATACTTAGAATTAGAAAGAACTAGCTTGAGGTAAGTTATAATTTATTTGGTTACTTTACTTCATTGTGAATGAGAAATTAATATTAGATATTTTAATTTTTTAGATCAAATTAGTTAAATCTTATCGAATCAGATTTTCAAGTCCAGTGGTTCATTTTCAAGGCTTAGTGCTTGAATTTAGTTGATTGAAAATTCAACTCTTATCAATTACTTGAAAAAAAATCCCTCATTCCCCATAATTCCTCAATATTCCAAAAAAAAAAAAAAGAAGAAGTTAACTCTTTTATCTGTAAGATAATATTATTGAAAAGTAATAAATGAGACACCTAATCTTTCGGACCAACTGGTACCCTGCGAACTTGAGATGCATTCCCCCTTCCCCATTTAAAGAAAAGCAATAAATGAGAAAGTAACAAGGCTGAAAGTAACAAGGCTGAAGCATCATATTCACGGGCATATTCATGGGTAATGGGAAAGTAACAAGGCTGAAGCATCATATTCACGGCTAGCTGATAGCTGGAGATGATGGGAAAGTAATAAATGGGAAAATAATAGCGATGAAGAAATTTGCACCATTAATTTAAAATTAATATTAAATGTTCAAATTTTTGCATTATCAAAGTCGTTAGCTGTTATCTATAAGATAAGATGATTGGAAAGCAATAAATGCAAAAATAATAAGACTGAAGATGATGGGGAAGAAATAAGAAAACTGATTTAGGGATAATTTCTTGTATTAATTTTTTGCATAATTTTATTTATTATTTAAATATTTGCTTCTTTTTATTTATTTGAAATCTGTAATATTAAATACATCCATTCATTTAATAACATATATAAATTATATAAAAAATGATACAAAAAAATTGTTTTTATATTAACACCCAAGAAATAAATGGTAGCAGAGGTACGATTTGGTTTTGTTTTAACTGAGATTGAATTATTAATTAATTAAAATTTTATGTTTTAAATTTTAATAATTATTAATTAAATCAAGAAAAATGAGTTTTATTGGTATT